TTTTTTTTAAATGATGATACATGTTTATTACCATCAGAAAGTATTTATTTGTCATGAAAGTAGCAAAAAATTTAAAAAGTTGTATTTTGGCTTCCATACTAAATACTAAATCACTTTAACTGTACTAATTTTCAGAAACCAACACAAGCAATATATAGTTCATGTAATTTACCAATGAGTATCTACTATAAAATATAGAATAAAAATAAAACTTAATCGGGGGGCATAATTGGCCTTTAAATAGGATTAATATCATAAAAGAAACTTTGGTTAAATCGATGAATTGTGATTAAAATATCAACAATATTTGTACAATTGATAAAACAACCTAGTTTTTGAGGTATAAGGTGTTCATCGTTCAGGCGTTTATCTTTAACAAATATACCAAAGATAAAGGTAACATACATGGTTGTCATGTTCTGCTTGTTTAAATATAATGACAAAAAACTACTGTCTCCGTGAATATCTAACTCTTGAACATTCGACGAATTTCAACACTAATAATGATAATAATGATAATAATAATAATAATAATAATGATAATAATATGATAATAATAATAATATTAATTATGATACTAATAATACTAATAATGATGATGATGATGATAATAATAATAATAATAATAATAATAATAATAATAATAATAATAATAATAATAATAATAATAAATAAATAATGATAATAATAATAATAATAATAATTAATAATAATAATAATAATAATAATAATAATAATAATAATAATAATAATAATCATAATAATAATAAAAATAATAAAAATAATGATGATGATGATGATAATGATAGTAATAATAATAATAATAACAATAATAATTATAATAATAATGATAATAATAATAATAATAATGACATTAATAATAATAATAATTATAATAATTATAATAATAAATATGATAATAATAATAATAATAATAATAATAATAATAATAATAATAATAATAATAAATAATAATAATAATAATGATGATAATAATATTAATAATAATAAAAATAACAATAATAATAATAATAATAATAATAATAATAATCTTATCTGATATTCCTTAATGCTCTCTAAAAGTGACTGAAGATGATGCATGCCTACCAGTTTGATATTGATAGTTGACTCTAACCATGATACAATAGACCTACCTTTATCTATATGTGTCACTTACAAGTTAACTGCATGATGATGTATTATGAATTAACATTAAACTTTATCTTTTATTGAAGGGGAGCGATGCCATCATCATCTACGACAAATAACTTCAACACTAACAACATCAGCAACAGGTCAAGCGATAACATTTAGTCTGCAACAGCCTGCAATGATTGAAAGAATAAACATCAATGTGTGTGACCAAGACAGAGCGTTGGCCGATGGAACATTCAATGTTACATTTGTAGACGCGTCAGATTTTACAAATCAAGAACGCATATACTCCGAGGTATTTTCATAAAAAATGATATTTTATTTGACGACAACTGACCAGTTTTTATACTTAGCCGCAAGATATAAATGTTGAACTATTTTCCTAATCATCACAAACATAATTATAAATCAGAACTTCATATTTTGCTAATATAATGTTTACTATTGCGCTTCTCAATCAAGTAGATTAAAGATTAAAAAAAATGAAGTTCTATAAAATACATGAATTATTTCATCGAGTGGTATGAAAATAAACAGTTCATGAGTTCATGTGTGGCGGTAGCTACGAGTGAAATATGATAATTTTCATACCACAAGATGAAAATAAATCTTGAATTTATAGGGAAAAGAACAGTCAACATACGGAAAATGTATTTCACTACAGTAAAAATACGGAAAATGAAAATACGCAGTTTATTTCATCAATGTATCTCAATATTTCATTTATACATTGAAATTTCTTTGGCTTAGGTCTGCATTACTTTAATAAAAAGCAATACGGAATGAAAAAAAAAGATAAATAAAACACAATCAGTAGTAAAGTGATGGGAATTAATGAACACTTTCGTCTTGACTATTAAGGTCCGTCCATTAAAACCCAAGTTTCCGTCCCTGAACAATGTCAAACATTTTAGTAAAAGAATGGGTTGTTTTCTTCTAAATATTAAACGCCAAAAAAAAAAAAAAGAATCGAAACATTTTCAAGGATAACCAGTGAAATGTTTATGTTAATGTTTATGTTTAGATTCGTCTTTATATCATAATGGTAAACAATTTATTATGCGTGACGCAAATGTATTTTGTAAATAATAACCGCAAACAATATTTTAATACAATACTTGTTACGATGTTTAAATTTTATTTGCTTGATTCCGTAGAATCAAAACGGAAAATGGTCACACGCAGCGACAAAAAATGTTTATGCATGGATAACGTTCAACCCTGCACTATACACGAGAAAACTGACCATAAAACACTGGTACGCAGTCCAGTGTTCAACGCTACATGTTTTGGGTTGCAGTCCAAACGGTAAATTAACATACAATATTTCAGAAACAACACAATTATCTTATCTTTATAATTGATGCTAATAAAGTTTGAAAATCTTTTAAAAAGGTCACAGTAATTTATAAACTGTTTTCTTTAATAAAGATGAGAAAGAAAAAATTTATTTAAAGGAATCTGATATAAAACAAGGGATCAGTACCCGGAATTAATGACTATACTAGAACCTAAAAGAATGGTTTACATTCGTTACTTTTTTCAAGTCGCTTTATATATATTTTAAAAGATTTAAACGTCGCATACACTTACTTTTTCAGAAATGTTTAACCAAACCTTTTGCAAAAATGGCGGCACAGCTATCGAACAAGATCAATGCGCATGTCCAACCGGATATATTGGATCCTCTTGTGACAAACCCGGTACTTACATCACTTTATTGGATAAATGAATGATGTATAAATTTGCACTTAAGCTTTTAGGCCAAAAAGTCATCAAATGGTTCAAAAATCTCGAAAAAATGTTTCCAGTCCGGTCATATCAAACACATCAGTAAAGTCGTTTTAAATGATAAAAGATTATAAAAGAAAATACCGAAGACTTTAAATACAATCTGTTTATAAATACAGCACGATTTCCGTCCGTCTGACTTATGCCAAGCTTATACATTTAAGTGCCTTCTAAAAATGTTGAAAGGTTCTTAAAAATTTTAGACATTGGCTTTGGCGCAAATATGTATAAAATAAATGGCGCGTATGTTGGTGATTTTATTTTAATGATACAGTACACTGTCAGTTTCTCGCTTTAATATGGTATTTAATTCAAAGACTCTCGCATTCATAGTCATTTGAAATAGACTGACTTTAAACTACAAATATATTTCTATTCTCGTTGAAAAAGTCGATATGAAATCTCGACTCCATTTCACCATTTTATATATTATTAGTTATACACATTTTTACAGCTTATAATGCATGGATTTGTTAAATGAATATGTAGTTGTAAGTTTTAAATAGTCTAGGCAGTGGGGCCAAAATGATATAGCATACTATTATAATTGTTTAAACACGACATTAAAGGGTATAAAATATCAGTAATGTAGAATCCTACATAGGGTTGCATTTGACTAAAAATTGGAAAGGAAATCAAAGAAAGTGAGACAGAAAAAGTGAAAAAGGTATAAGAAGGAAAAAAAAACGCAGCTGGTCTTAAGTTGTATATAAATCTCATTTAAACCGTCGATTAGATATTCAGACAGTAACGTTTTTTTTTTCGTTTTTTATTTCAGTACGGGACATGACTGTTGATGACTTTGATTTTGTGGTGAACATCTCGAATATCGTTTATACAAAAGACGCAGCGTTTAATATAAGCGGCGAAGTCTCATTTACGTTCGATGCTCAATCTACAGACACCAGATCTCGTCGACATTTGCACCACTCACTGGGCCATCTACTTCATGGCTTGGCTCATTTTACTGGTCATGGAGGAAGTCTTCACTATTCGGCGACTAATTTAGCTGGTTTCCTGCACAGCAATCATCACACATATGGGCACCATCCTTCACATAGCATATACTCGGGTCTAAGTAATTTCTTAACTGGATTTTCACACTCCGTTCAAGTTAAATTTGGCCATAATCACCATCACTCAAATTATCACTATTTCTACACAACACATGGTACAAATCATTTATCACATGGGGCTTCTTTACATTTTCACAACCATTTTCTACATATGAATGTTCACTATGCAAACAGTAACGGCCACCATCACCACTTTCACTTAAATTTCAAATGGAATCCGTTACCGCACATCAAGTACAACATTGTTAGTTCTTTTCAGTAAGTATTTTGAAAATTATTATGTCATAAGCTTATAACGCTTTATTTTTTACTTTTATTTGGGGGAATTTGATGAAATTTACCCAGAACTTTTTTATTTTGTTGGTAATTGGACCATACATTTGGCTATATGTTATCCATAAATTGCTTTTCAATCGCCATAATTATATTGTTTTGCATTTCTATCAACCAGTAAATCTGAAACTTACATAGAACTTAGTGGCTGTTTAGGACTTGTGTTCAGTTTATTGTTAAATTTCTTTTAATATTGTCTTGAAATGTTTTGGTATGTTCAATGTGAAATCACATTTAGTTAAATGTACTTTTTTTGCCACTGTTTAGAATAAATCTTATTCTCCATTTACAAAAGTCGAACAGCTAGATATTCTTATTTTTTGCCAATTTTCAGCCCACATCTGGGTGCAAGCTTGTTTATCAACGGACATAATGTAGCATCCTTAAACAGGCCAGCTGTCACAGCACCACATAACAACTTTCCAGGCATACCTCAGCCATTGTGTTTCGGACTTTGTGGCGCTAAACCAGGATCTGGGCCGTCAAACCTTACCGTTGGAAATATTGCTGTTGCAGGCGCTAATGTCGCGACAATGGCAAAGAACTTTCTTCTTGGTTTGCTAGGTATTTGCTATACCATATGATCATTTTCAAAAAATACATTTTGATTGAAATATATATGTAAACAAAGATAGACAAGCCAAAGCCTCCAAGGAAATCCAAAGAGACAGGACCGGAAAAGCACCAGGAGATAAATGAACAGAATGAGAGGGCACAAGTAGTACAGAATGAATCTGAAGTTCATGATGTTAAGAAAAATATTAAATCAAGGTGTAACTGTATCCAATAAGGGTAACATCAATGGACACTTTTGACCAAACGTATAGGAGAGTAAATTAGTAAATATGAAATTTCAGTAAGATACCCTTCTTTTCCAGGATTGCCAATGTTAAATCTTTTGACACCACAAGCAACAACTTCAACTCCTTTGAAGACCACTGTAGCCACAAAAGTCTCTTCAACAACTTCCCATCATGGCGGTTTTACACTTGCACCAACATCAACTCCACCCGCCACAGCTACCGCAGGTTTACTTTATTTTTTGTGATTTCTCTATTGTTTTTTCATTTAGGTTTGATACTTTTTGTAAACAATTGAATGTATATGCATGAAAATTGTGAGAATTCGTGAATAAAAGAAGCATCAAAAATGTACATAAAATGTGTACATGTACATAAGTATACACATTTAGATTCATATGCCATAAACCGTTATACATGTTAGATTTGATAAAAGCTGTAGCAAACGTTCTTATTAGACGCCGCGTACACGCAGCGTCTAGTAGATATGCATTCGTCTACTAAGCAATTGGGAAAATTTTAGACTTAATTTTGTGTATTTTTTTTTATCAAAATCAAAATTTGGTTTTCAAAAATTTTCTTAATAAAAATAAGCTTTTCTGGTATCCAAACCCCGAGTTTTGGGAAAAAAATTAAAATAAGATATTTGTTTTTAAAGAAACAATTATTTTTTTTTCCAATTTTAAATTCGGAAAGCAACCCCCCAAATTTTTTTTTCACCCTTTAAACTTAAATCAATACGTTCCTAAAATTCTTTTCTCCCCCAAAACCCCAAAATTACCTTTAAAAATTTTCCCCTTTTTGGAAAAAAAAATTGGTCCCAAAAAAAACCAAAATTTGGCCAATTATTCAATTTCCAATTGTCCATATCTAATCTCATTTTTAAAACCCCACCTAGGGAAAATTTTGGACGTTTAAAATTTTTAAAAATTTTCACTTTCCTTTCCCTAATTTTTAAAAACCCCAAATCATGAAAATAAAATTCATTTTACCTTTCAATCCCTCAAACATCTTTTACAATCTTTCCTTTCCATCTTTCAATCATACATTAAAAACAAATTCTAAATCAAGTCTTTCTAAAATAATTGAAATTATAGTTTATCATCATAAATCATCTCCCCCATAACTTAAAAACTACTTTAAATTGTCTTTTAGGTTATAAAGGGTCATAATACCATCTATAAAAATTTTTTGAAAGTCATCATAAATATGAAAAAATCATTCTCATAAATCAATCACATTACATCAGATCAATCAATCACATTTTCATTCCATTCGGCGGCAAAAAATCATGGCGTCAACAAAAATAAAAAACTTTTTTCATCATATCCATTAAATCTTTAAAAACAGGGGCCGATTAAACTTTGGGGCAAGAAAATCATCAACAAAAAATTTAAACCCCAAATCATCATCACCATTGTCATCCATCATCAATTACATCAATCATCGTCACCATTAACACCATTATCATCATCGTTCACCATTAACCGCCATTATCATCATCATCGTCATGATGATGACAAAAGTTTTTGATGATGATGACGACGATCAAAATTACCGTCATCATCATCATCACAAACTTTTATCATCATTGTTCATCAATCATCACAATCATTATCACCACAATCATCAAGGTCATCATCATCATCAACAACCATCATCATTATCACCAATATCAATCAATCGTAATGAAGATCACAAAAATGTGATGATGATAACTGCGATGTTTCGGTCGATGGTGATGATGATGACAAACAAAAGTTCTGTAAATGATGATAAACGACGGTCAGCACATCATCATCATTCAATAAATCTACCGATAAAAATCGCCGTCAGCATCATCAAAAACACATTTGTCAATCATAGTCCATCATCATTATAATAATCATCATCGACCGATAAACATCGCTGTCATAATCATCAAAATACGTTTGTTATCATCATCATCATCATCATCATCACATCAATTATCAACACCCCAATGATCATCATCGTGTTATCTTCACCAACACCAACCATCATCATCACCATCAAAACCAACATCATCAATATCCATTATCATGAATCGTAATGGTGATCACAAAAGTTTTTTTTGTGATGATAATGACAGCGATGTTTTCGGTCGATAATGAGGATGTTGTGATGATGATGACGACGAATAAGAATATCATCATCATCATCGGCCAATAACATCGCCATCATCATCATCACAAATATTTTGTTATCATCATCAATCATTAATCATCATCGTCGGCCGATAAACATCGCCGTCATCATCATCTAAAATCTTATCATCATCATTATAACCATCACCATCGTCCGATAAACATCGCTGTCATCATCATCCCATTAAAGCAATCATATCTGGACAAAACCTACCAATTATTATTAAAATGTATTAAAATATAAGCATTAATACCGAGGGGTATTAAACGATCAAATTTTCCAAGAAGCGCTGGCGCGCTTCATGGATTTGCTCGCCTACCTTTACCCTTACAAGTTCACACTCTATGAACATAACCAAAATGCGATAATCCTCAAACTTTTACAGAGTTACCTGGAGCAAGCACGTCTCTAGTCTTAGAGTACTAGTACTTAGTAACCAGTACTAAGCAGATACATTCGCCAGTAATTGACAACTGCCCTACTTGAAACAGCGGTAGGGGAAGAATGGCCGTAGAAATCATTTCGTGACCAATCTCCACGAAAGTATCTGGCCCGCCCGGGAATCGAACCCAGGCCGCCTGCGTGCCAATCTGACGCGCAACCGACTGAGCTAGCCGGCGAAACAGTTACACAACCAGCAAAATCCATGTAAAGTGTGGTTAGGTTAGCTGTTTCTGTTACTGCTAGTATTTGAGTTTGAAAAAAAGTTTACACATCGGCAGACTATTTCATTTATTAAGAAATACATAATTTATGTACCATATAAATACGTAGGCCATTTTCATTTTATGAGTTTTTTTGGTATGTACTAAATACGTTTTGGCGAGCATAGAAAAACTTATTCCAACCGAATATGGTACAATGTTTGTACCATATTCGGTCGAAAATTGTACCATATTCGGTCAGAATATGGTACATTTGTACCATATTCGACCGAATATGGTACATTTGTACCATATTCGTTTTTGTACCAAATACGGTCCAACAATGCTCTGTATGCTAGCATTTAGTCTTCGTTGACGCAGGGAAGGGAACCAGGACAACTACGATCAATATCACTTCCCTACAGTTACAAAGCCTAGACCACGCCTACTATCAGAGCGGCGGTTCTCTCTCTACCATTTATTTTAAGACAGACCCGTATATAGTCTAATGACGGGAACCAAATTCGGGGCAGGGGAACAAGGGGTATGACTAAAAACATTCTACAGGCGCAACGGAATTATTTTTTGCAACACTGGCAAAACGTGTGCAATTTCATGAACATAATTAACATTGAAGTTAAAAATACAGATTAACTGAGTGAAAAAAAATACGTTTACAATTTTAAAATGTATCAAAGATATTTTGCTGTAGGTTTATTTTTGAAGGATTTTATGGAGGATTGTTTTTCTTTTTTATAAAATGTATTTGTTCTATACGTTAGTGATTCCAGGCAAATTATCAATCTTGTGTTTAATCAAGTTAGTTTAATCTTTTATAATAAGAAAATAAATACTCGTTACTCAAGACCGTTTACATTTAACAATTTATTCATAACTATTATTTGTATATTACAAGACCAGTTATTTTTGGGCTTATTTTGTAAAATTTAAAAGGAACCCAGTTTCGTCCCTCAAAATTCATTCGAACATTATGCCAAATTTCGCAAGCAAATATTCAAATTTGGACATATTTCTCGGCGGCAACGGAAGATACTTTTCCTGAACCTTTTTGGTCTTGAATTTATCTTATGTAAACACAATCATTAATCAACTTTACTAGTTATCCATTTTTATTTTGCTTTCGAACCAGAACCTTTTTCAATCTTTTGGGTCGCAACAAGACAAACATTTCATGAATTTTTCAGAACCTGGAATTACTTTGTGAATTTATGCATTAGGTTCTAACTTTTTCACCAAATATGCAACTCAATTAAATTAAACAACGAGACATAACCACAAAACATGGGAGAAAAAGAAATAGTTAATTTGCTTCGGATATTCAAACCTGTAATGAAGAACGATTTTCAAGATTACCCTGTGACTGTTCACATCATTATGGCGGCGTTCCTTTGATGTGCAGGCATCAAAACATTTAACTTTGTAAAAATGTATCTGAGCTTTTGTTTCCCAAGAGAATTACGTTCTTTCACGGGAAAGACATAGCCATATTATTTAGATATTAATGAATTTGGGTTGATTTTAATTTGTTACATAACCCATAATTTACTGGGATACATACTAAAATCTATTAACAGCTAACACATTTACAAGCAACAACACTTCCAAATTCGGCCCATGCATGTTATTTTGGTACAAACTACCAAAGTTGAAAGGAGCATGTTTTACAAACGCAGTGCTATCCTGGCTTAGGGGATTTTATGTCATAAAAACTGTTGTTGAGAGAGGATAAGATGAACATTTATTTTGCCCTGTGTTACAATGTACCAACGGTTCAAACTTATAAGATTAGGATCTAAGATTTTGAGTATGAATCTATGTATTCTCTTACTTTATTCTAATTTTATACAAAATATGGCTTTTTAAAGTAAAATAGGACATATCAATGAAAGTAAAATAAAGCAAATAAAAAACATATAAAATAATAAAAGAAATAAAAAAAACCTGCATAAAAAAGCAAATTTTTTCATATTAATTTTCTTTTGGCTCTTTCAGGTTTTTGTGCTGTGGGTTTGATCGCAAAAAATGGGTTCATTCACAGATGGGATGGGTAAACAGGTAATTGTAGTTTATCTTGCAAATGAAAGAAAATTTTTTTTTGACGACGGTTGACAGTAACTTTCAAAAAAACCTAATAGAAACTATGCTAACATTTTTGATAAGGCAAAGAAATAAAACATTACAAGGCCCACAGTAATATTCTAAAGTGATATGTCTGGTATCTTAACTTAAAAAAACCCCTCCAAAACAACAACTTCCGGATGACGTTCTGTATTCTTTCCGGGAAATTCAGGAAGTAATATTTTATTTATAAATGTTGTTGATCTAAGTGGCATTATGCCCATTTAAGTGTCATTGGGGGGTGCACAGAACAAGTTCAAAATATGTTTACAGCTTGCAATTAAGAGTGGGGCTTTCTTCTTTTTTAATATATATTTTTGGCGTTTTTTTATATTCTAACCTAAACATTTTTCATTATCAATTTTTGATCAATCACCATCATAATAATTATTCTCTTAAAATATTATTTAAATTCAACTCAACCTAACAGCGAAAAAAATGAGCAAAATGTCACTTTCAAATCCGATTTATTTCAATAGCACACTGTTTCCAGCAAAACTGTAAAGTGAGCTGACATTTGAAATTTAAGGGTCGGTTTTCAAAGACTATGTTGAAAAACAAATATATTAAAGTTTGTTTCTGTCACGTGATAAATATTTATGTATATCCGTAGTATTAGGTGTTTGATTATTCTCAATAAAGGTATTGGTCAAGTATACTAAATGAACAATATGCAGTCCAAGTGGTGTAACAATACTTAATTCCAACATTTTTTCCGTTTTTTCGTTTGTTATAATAATTCATGAATCTAAAATGTAAACATGTATTATGCATTAAGCAGAAGATTTCGTTTAGGGCATTCTTTAGGGATTTCGTTTTTTCTCCATTTCATTAGGTTTAATTCTTTTTGTATTCAAAACAAATTCCAAATGTCGCCCACAAATTACATAGATGTACTATCTTTTTACCTGATTGACATATTTATTAAAATTCTGACTCCGTTTGATATATTTATGTGAGTTATATATTATTTGAAAACTATCAGAACATATTATAAATAAATTTCTACTTTTGATACTGTTCCAGTTATGTGACTCTAATATGAAGAGCTCAAATGGCTGTTGGAATTGTTGCACCGGAAACCTATGTAACAAACAGTGTACGTCTGTCGCAAGTGAGTAGAAAAAAAGTATCATGTCGTAAAAATAGTATTATTTATATAGTGAAAATAGTATCATATCATATGATTAAATTTTTCCTTCTGTAGACCGGACACATATGTGTTACGTGTTATGTGTTTAGTTTTAAAAATGGATTGAGGACACGTAAGATGCTTATCATTTAAACGAAACAAAACAAAACAAAACAAACAAAAAAGGTCACAAACTGTAAAAAAGTCATTTATTAACTTCCGTACAAAATTATTTATAAAAATATTCGTATAGAAACAGTAGATGGGCCATCCTAAATTATCGACGAGTAACGTTTTGGAAAAGGTCAAAGGATACCAAAAGATAAAGTTTGAAAAAAAATGAAATAGCTACATTTCTAAAGCCTTAGAGCCTTTAAATTGTATTTGACAATGTACTTGATTTAATTACTATAACTGTATATCTACAAAAAGTTTCTTCTGCGTTATTGCTAATGGTGAAAAAGTATGCATGATTTCCTGTAATTTGCTTTGTATATTTACAGCATGTACAGACACACCCCAATGTGCTCGTCTCCGTCTCATAGGTTACAGTGTATGCAATGACCCTGTTGTGTCGGTATTAAGTTGTTCAAAAACATGTAACAAATGTTCATCAAGCGGGTAGCTTCATGGCTTTTTTACACGATTATTATCTCACTCAATATATTTGTTGTTTAAATTTGTTTCGAAAATGTATTAAGAAATTAGAATAAAATCGCATTCATGTATAAATCTTCCCTCATTTTTCTTCAACTTCTTCAATATGGAAAGACAGTTTATTGCTCCTTTAATATATTTTAGTATATGCGCATGCGTGGAAATGTGACGGCATGAAAAATGTGGCTAATATATAAAGAGTTTAATTTTATAAATTGTATTGATTAGTTTTTTCCAAAAAATGGACATGAAAATGATTGAATATTAAGTAATACAGACAATCAAACAACAACAACAACTACAACAACAAAAATAAATTTAAAACCTACACTATTAAAACGTGCTGAAGGCACTGCAGTTGGGGCGTATTTAAAGGATAAAAATACTTTTTTTTACTATCGGGGCAGCTAATTCAATGAGTGATGGGTGTTGCCGGTTGATACATATAAAGTGCGCAATTCAGTTAATGAACAGTAGTTGATACAATTATTCTATGACATACATGTTAAAATATAATATTGAGGTTACATGTACATGTAGGTCTATCCCTAACGGTTATTGGCCCTTTTTGACAAGAGCAACAAGTGAAATAAGAGCTGCCAGAGGAAACTGCAAGCTCGACTGTTTTTAACACATGACATAATAAAGGGAGACAAGATTATGAAAAAATAATCAATTATGATATAAATATATTTCTGTATCAGTATCAAGATAAAATTCAAATGGTCAATATTTTTGCATCACATTATATGAATGGCCATGTCATTAAAACTGATGATGGCTTTTGTACACTGCCCTTCTCATGCTTATCTCTTTCTTTTTAAGTACATGTATTATAAAGGGAGATAAATTAAAAACTAAGGAATGTAGTTATGGTTCTTTGACACTAACAACTTCGAGTCTGTACAAACTGTGTGTAGTTTCAGTGATAGTGGCAGTAAAACTCCAAATAAGCATTTATAACTTAAGGGAGATGATTAAAACATTAAGAAAGGTAGAGTTATGTTTCTTGAACACTGTACTTCCTCTCAAAAGTCTATATCACTTTGTGAAGTTTACATAAAATCCCTTCAATACGTATCTAGTTATATTCATATTCCAGACAAGAGTGTGAAGGACAGACGTCTTCCTACAATAGAGAAAATGAGAATCCCTATAGAAAGCAGTACACAATGTGGGTTTTTTCTTTAATCATCTAAAATCTCAAAAACACCGTAAGAAACATATTTTCCTACCATGAGCAACCTTTTTCCCCACAAGTACAAGTCTGTAGGGAATGTACACGGATATTTATCCATAATATGACTTGAGTCCATACAAACAGATAGTTAAAGCAGCAACTTTTTGGAGCATAAATTATTAAATTATAATAACATGCTAAATCTCCATAATGTTCTATATCAGATAGCAGTATGATGAACCTTGCTTTTGTACCATTTGAGTAATATCAAAATTCTGATTTCATTGACATACAGAAAGGGTCAGCCTTAAGTCCCCTTTTGGTGAAAACAGAAAGGGACTAATAACAACAATTTATTCTAGTTTCAATTCTTAGTTTGATTAATGCTTCCGAGGGATCACTTTGTTTCCAGATTTTTATTACATTTTATTAAACCAGGCAAGCTAAGATACATGTTATAATTTATAAAGTATGCTGGCTCTGAATGTATGTCATTGCTAAACATTACACAATATTAAAATTAATTGGAATGTGCAGTCATACGTTTCATAAGTCCCAGGAGCTTCAATTCATGGAAGCTTTTGGGGAAATCAGTCACTCTAAAATAGTCCAACTAGTCCCAAGTGTTCATGGTTGAACAGTTATTTAGCATATACAGTTATGATCACACTGTACTGTACTACATATGGAAACAGACTGTGATGCTAATCTTCATTTGCTTTGACTGATGCATGACCACCTTAAAAAAGTATTAACAATTATATGAAGTTCAATAATTTGCAAAAATGCTTATCTTCTTTGTCTTTTCTTACATTAATAATGCAGAGCACTAGATTTGTGTGTGTGCCACACACATTTACTTTCAATAACACTATTTAAATATATTCGAAACACAATTCTTTCATAAGCATATTGTGAAAAATGACCGTTTTCATTGAAAAGCCTCCTGTTACAAGTTCAAACTGCTATAAAACTATGAAAAATGCTTCAATATATGCTTAATTTCAATGAAAAAACTTGCAACAAATGTTGACTGGAACATAGCCTCTGTAACAGCATGCTCAATCTTAAATTTCTTGTTACACTGGCAACGGGGGACGACTCAAAATTGCCAAAAACACTATTTTGCATTGTTTTCTTTTCCATCAAAACTGATTTCAAAGTGCTGCAATTTCTCAATGGATTGAGATAGAGTAAAAGGCTTTTCAGTGTTGGTTACACGTTACCTTACGATCGACCTGAGGACATTTTAAGCCTGTCACATGTCCAAAACTTTTTTGGCGATGTGGGAAACTGCCGCCCCCTTGATACCTCCGAAACAGAAGGGGGCACATCCCCCTTCTGGCAACTCCCTGATGTACCTTTTTGATGGGGAGCGGCGCCGAATAAGTGGTCACTTTTTTATCAACATTTCTCAAACGAAAAACAGTATTTTGGGCCTAAATGGAGCTATTTTCACTGTTTGAGGCCTCAAAGGGGGCGGGGGTGAAAAGCCGTCAAAACACGTCTATATGAGGTAAATAGTTAATAAATACTTATAGTAATACTTAATTACTTTTTCGTGATATTTTTTACTGTCACAAGGTACACTTATTTTTAGGCTACAATTGTAAATAATGAATTATAAATAATGGTTATTTTAATAACCAATATGAATGTTTTAAAGATCATCCCTTCAGACTTTTAAACAGCCTGTCAATTAAGCAGCAAACTTAGCAGAAAAATGGTCAAAAGGTAGGGAAACATTTTTATACATATTAAAATCATTTGGTAAAGAAACAATCACTTCACATCTGTGCTTTGCTATTGAATGTTTTCATTTGTTTCAATCTTGAATAATCAAAAGGTAAACAATGTTCATTAGGATGAACTGTATTGTAAATTTTGCATACATATTGAGGTCTTGTTCAAGGCAACAAAACTATATTGTAAATTTTGCAGTTCCTTGTAATGCCCTGTAGGATTGATTTGTACCACCTAAAATCACCATACTATGATATTTCATGTACTAAGTGATTATTTGTTAGCAAAGGAAAAATACTGTCATAGGCAGTATCTTAATGCCAATTGACAGAAATATTTGAAGTATGTTCGTAACTAACACTAAAATAAACTGTGAGCATGCACTGACACTCTTTTTATTTTAGTTTGTACTAAATATGAACAAGTCTTGGACTATTTCAGTATGTATATTTGAAATGCAAACTAAACAATTTCAGTTTCAAGCCTTTTCCTAAACATTTTGGGAAAAAATACCTAGCACAGTTTGGGAAATTTTGCATCTTGACTGGGAAAAATATTCGGTACCGGCAGAGTATTTGAATTGTACAAATGTGTTAATCCAACCAATTGTATATCATTCAAAGCATAAAAAATACATCAAAAATTGACAATGAAATGTGTTTTTGAATATCATCTGTATGATAATAATATTTCTTCATATTACTCAACAATATTACCACTAAAATATGAAATGTTCTTATCGTTTTTTATGATATTACATGTATATTTGTGAATAAAATGTTAAAATGTGAATATCTGTATTATCAAAAATTGTTTAAGTTCTAATTAACACTGATTAAATTACTTCAACCACGTAGTGATTACAGGTATAGATCATTTCCAACAGCCTTGCTGTTGTGTTGACCTTTTCGCCACACCAGAAAAGGGGAAAATCAAAATCCGACCACTGAGAATGGGAAAAATCACTGGGTGGTGAGGGTAAAATAAAATTGACATTTATGTCGGTTTGTGATTTATGGGTATGAACAATCAACTAGCAATCAACAAGAGTTTGGTCAGAAATAATAGGACAGTACTTCTAGCTTGTCCCCTAATGTTTCAATTATACAAGACATGCAGTATTTGCAGGGGCTAAACTAAACAGCTACACAGCTGATATTGAGCGTTAAATCACTTAAAAATTTTTTTTAATATAGAACCCCTTTATTCATTAAGAACTTAATGTATAAACATGTAAGATAAAAATGAAATTAACATTATTCTGAATAATTTAAGAATTGGCCCCATTTGGTAGAGACGTTACGGCCGCGACAAGCCCAGCAAATTGTAGGCGTATATGTCGGTTTTCCTCGTAAAGGCAGACATCTTTGCAATATCAATTGTACAATCGGTCGGTTTAGCAGCCCAAAAAAGGAGACTAGGGCAGGGTCGAAATGTCTTGGGGACGAAATGGCTCAAGATCACTCAAATTACTTCGAAATTATTAACGAAAGTTTGAGTCCTCAGGAACGAATTGACACCAATAAATAAACTTATTATTATTATTCGTCAAATTCATAACATATATTGCTTGCAAACTTACCTTACGGGCTAAACAGGCTGATATGCTTGTCAAGTAGGTCATAAAGTAAACCGGAAGTTGTCGGATTCATCTAATTATAGGCTATTTCAGAGACATAGATTATCTACATCTCTGGCTATTTCTATTTCAATATTCACTTTGCAATTATAAACTACAAAATTTTTTCGATAAGGATTGTCTTTTTAAAAAAATTCTGGATGATAAGGTACGGCTGAGTAAGTTGAATATTTCAAGCCGTCAATCGCTTATCTCCATTCATAGAATTACTATCTCCATTCATAGAATTACTCGAACTTTCAAATTATATCCGCTACATTTCTAATACCGTGTTACAGTGGTGACACTGTAATAACTGTAATAACCGTAATTTGAGCTATATTGCACATAATTTTCAAAAAAAAATTCTTATCTCCTCTTCTATTCGCAATAAATCAAAGTTTTCAGAAATACAGAGCAGTATTTTTCACTCACAACGGTCATGGTAGGATGATCACTATGAATTCAACTTCCTTGAAAAGTATAGGAATACATTAAAGCATATATAGTGGTGATGAAACGTCACTGCAGTGGGCGTTACCCTGTATGGTTGGAAATTTCGGGTTTTTAAGTACACTAGTTGGGACTACGGCCCAACTCAAAAAAGAGTGATCAAATAACGCATTTTCAACACATAACAGTAAATATGCCAGATTTATTTCTTGTGTGTGTGTGTGTTTGCGTGTGCGTGCGTGTGCGTGTGCGTGTGTGTGTGTGTGTGTGTGTGTGTGACCATGTAGACTATGTTTTTCCCGGATACTGCGAGTACGTGCATGTTTAGTGAACAAAGGTCCAACATAGCCGAGGACAAATTTTAAATCTTTAAAGAAATCCTTACACTATTTACGTAATAAAGAGTCTATATTTTTTTTGTTAAAAAAGAATTGTTTAATCAAGTAAAGAATAAAATGAAATAGAGTTAGAAGACTTATCCTAATATTAAGCTTTTAATTTATTAACGCGATCTATCTTAAACGATATGCACTATGCAAATAAGCTGGTTGGCATGGACATTTAAGATGCCGCAGCTAAAATGTGGGATCACGTGAGATCGTTACAAACTTGGTTCAAGCGGGCGCAATGGTTGCAAACGTTACAAAACGAAGACCGAATCGTCATGAAAATTTATAATGCCCTTCCATAGTTTGTCTTGTAAGTGTGTTTGTATGTTATTTTGAAATGAATTTTTAGTGATAAGCTCCATATTTGACAAATTTGTTGAAGATATCAACAGGTCATGTATATAATTTAGGATTTGATACGTGACTATTCTGGTCTATAAATGTTAATTATGAAGTTCAAACAGACAGACTATATTTTTGTCTGTCCAAAATAAAAGTTTAGTGCACAAAAATATTTGTGCATTTTGGTTGCAAACTTGCGCGTTGCAAACTTATGATACACAAGTAACATCGTCTTATTTATATGAACAGAACTATCTTTTCCGTAATGATTATGTATTTGATGTTATATACATAAATGCAATAACCATAATCAAATATGACAACACTCTAAAATCAACTTCTTGTGGAAATACTTTTATAAGTGATAAATTCTGGTGGCAATTATAGAAGGGATTTTCATGAAATGTTAGAAAAGTACTCTTCTTTAGTATCCGAAATCTTTTAGTATTTCATTTCATTTAAATTTATAGTAATGCTGACAAGATTCAAGAAAAGAAGATACGTGTTTGAACTGAGAGTAATACTTATTGAGTTGAAATACAACAAAACAAAACAATTTTATATATCTTGTTGAGTTTTCGCCGTAAAAGATGGTCAAAATGTCATTACTTTAGTTGAACCTACGATAGATAAGACTAAAGAAGAACAGATAAGGTGAGTTTCAACATCAAGTTCACATGATCTATTTTAATGGGCCAAGATGGACCTTCATCTATATACCTGTTTCTTTTTTATTTTTGTTATAGCAGATGTCAATGGTAAGAGTCAATTATAAGTTTCATTGATAATCTTGCTTCAAACAATGTATAATGTCTTAATGTTGAAAAAAAACGTTATACGTACTTGGACATTGATCAAAACTCGAAATCTGCCATGTCATATATATTTACTATTAACCTTTACCAAATTAGATATTTTTAACGGACTTGGTAATCTGTCAAACAGAAATGATATTCCTTAGTATTACGTGTATTGGTTGCGAGGTCAAAAAACAATTTCTGTCAAAAAAGATTCAAGGGATAATAACCAATAGAAACAAAGAAAAAAATACTTGTTTGAACTCAACCTTTAGATTATGCTTAAAATACAATAAAAGTCGCATGGTCAGTTCATCATTCTATATGAGAATTTCGTCAATTTATGATATAATTTTTTTCTTTTTTTAGCAGATGTTGATCTTATTTTTTTTAAATGGTCGAAATAGGCAAATTTATCATCATATGTTTGTTATCAGATATTCATAGAAAAAAAAGATGTTCAGATGTACATAGTAGTAGTAGTAGTAGTAGTAGTAGTAGTAGTAGTAGTAGTAGTAGTAGTAGTAGTAGTAGTAGTAGTAGTAGTAGTAGCAGTAGCAGTAGCAGTAGCAGTAGCAGTAGCAGTAGTAGTAGCATTATTAGAAGCATTAGCAGTAACAGCAGTAGTAGAAGCAGCAGAAGTTGTAGTAGCAGTAGCAGTAAGGGAAGTAGCAGTAGCAGTAGCAGTAGAAGCAGTAGCAGCAGCAGTAGCAGAAGAAGCAGTAGCAGTAGCAGTAGTAGCAGTAGCAGCAGTAGCAGCAGTAGCAGTAGCAGGAGTGGTAGCAGTAGCAGTAGAAGTAGTAGCAGTAGCTGAAGAAGAAGTAGCAGTAGCAGCAGTAGTAGAAGCAGCAGAAGTTGTAGTAGCAGTAGCAGAAAGGGAAGTAGCAGTAGCAGTAGCAGGAGCGGTAGCAGTAGCAGTTGAAGTAGTAGCAGCAGCAGTAGCAATAGCAGTAATAGAAGCAGTAGCAGAAGCAGTTACAGAAGTAGTAGCAGCAGCAGCAGACGTAGTAGTAGTAGTAGTAGAAGTAGTAGTAGTAGTAGTAGTAGTAGTAGCAGTAACAGTAGCAGTATCAGTAGTAATATAAGTAGCAGAAGCAATAGCAGCAGCAGTAGTAGTAGCAGCAGCAGAAGTTGAAGTAGCAGCAGCAGAAGCAGTAGTAGTAGCAGTAGCAATAGTTGTAGCAGTAGCAGGTGCAGAAGTAGTAGCAGTAGCAGTAGTAGTAGCAGCAGCAGCAGTAGTAGTAGCAGCAGCAGAAGTTGTAGAAGCAGCAGCAGCAGCAGAAGCAGTAGTAGTAGCAGCAGAAGTATGAGTAGTAAGTAGTAGTAGTAGTAATAGCAGCAACAGTAGTAGAAGAAGTAGCAGCAGCAGTAGTAGTAGAAGTAGCAGTAGCAGAAGTTGTAGTAGTAGTAATAGTAGTAGTAGTAGTAATAGCAGCAGTAGTAGTAGTAGTAGTAGTAGTAGTAGTAGCAGCAGTAGTAGTAGCAGCAGTAGCAGTAGCAGCAGCAGAAGTTGTAGTAGTAGTAATAGTAGTAGTAGTAGCAGCAGTAGTAGTAGCAGTAGTAGTAGCAGTAGTAGTAGCAGTAGTAGTAGCAGTAGTAGTAGCAGTAGTAGTAGCAGTAGTAGTAGCAGTAGTAGTAGCAGTAGTAGTAGCAGTAGTGTAGCAGCAGAGTAGCAGTAGCAGTAGCAGTAGCAGCAGCAGCAGCAGCAGCAGCAGTAGCAGTAGCAGCAGTAGTAGTAGTACTTAGAAGTAGTACTTAGAATTAGGAGTAGCAGTAGTAGTAGCAGTAGTAGTGGCAGTAGAGTAGCAGTAGTAGTAACAGTAGTAGTAGTAGTAGTAGCAGAAGCAGCAGCAGCAGCAGTAGGAGTAGCAGTAGTAGTAGTACTTAGAAGTAGTACTTAGAATTAGTAGTAGTAGTATTTAGAGGTAGTAGTAGCAGTAGAAGTAGTAATAGCAGCAACAGTAGCAGCAGTAGCAGAAGCATTAGAAGTAGTAAACAAAAACACTATAAAAATGTGTCCGATTTAATAAATTTCTTTTGAAGCGGGACAATGTCACCATACCTTACAACGTTTGACATTCACAATGTCGGAACACAACGAGAAGTTGACATTGCGTCTCCTACAGCCCATCATGGTTGAAAGATTAAAAATTCGTCTGTGTGACCATGAACGAACATTGGCTCACGAGAAGTTCAATGTAACATTTCTAGACGCGTCAGATTTAACGCACCAAGAACGTATTTACTCTCAGGTATTTTCATTTAATTATTTTTTACATGGATATTTTATGCAATGTAGAAGAAAAAACACTTCGTTTTGGTTAGATATAGATACAATAGATATAAGTGTTGAAAAAACTGGTGCTTCCTGGGCTGCAGATTATTACTTATACAACTAAAATACAGTTTGATTCCTTTTGCCCTGCATTTCATTTAATATAAAATACTATATAAAACGTCATGCAAGAGCACCAAGTTTAAATTTATATTATTGCAGTAAATTGTAAAAAAATGTAGTAGAAAACGCTACTAAGACCAACTCGGAATTAAGGACACTGCTATTAAAAACAATTTTTAAAACGAATTGAATTATCTGTTCTTTATGTCAATGGTAAGCCAAATCAAGACACTCCTGCTTAATATCCACTATTAAGATCACGAGTTTCAGTTCCAATTCTTTCTTTTATTCTTTAATTTGAAATCACGGAGTATCTAGTCAGCTTACTTAGAACACTTGCCCTTTTGTTATTATCTGCTCGAGTGGTTTAGGGCATGATATGACACTTGGTGAGCCAATATTTTAAAACTGTTATGATATTAAGAATTTTGTAATAACTTTAAGATAAGGTTAAAAAATAAATTTCCCAGTTATATGGTGTTGCTTTCTGCATATTTTAAGTAAAACATTAAATTCCTTTTTTGAAAAGACAATTAAATGTAATGATATTTTTAAAATTGAAACCAGACCAATCAATTCATAATAAAAAGTGTTGTTATTATATAAAAATGGAATTACCGAAAAACACATTTCATTACCGATTAAATGAATATACATGTACCTATATTTTATTACAATCATTTATTTCTTCTACATTTGTTTTCATTTCTGTAGGAACTGATTGGAGAATTTGCGGATGCATCAAACTTCATCGTATTGTTTGAACCTGCCATGTACACGAGAACAGTACACATCAACAAATGGCATGCCTTGAAATGTTCAACATTGCATGTCCTGGGATGCACTCCATACGGTAAGACTACTGGATGATCCGTTTGGTAAATTAATTGTCTTTATTATAAACGAACATAAAAATGTACTTCTTTTTTTTTCTACTTGATTGTTATTTTGAAAAGAACTATTGCAATCTTTGAATGAATTTCGGTATTTGGCATAGAGCAAATGCAAAAGTCATCATGCTTTGTCGTGTATATTATATGCAAGCAATAAAGAAGATATTTAAATACATTGGTAATATAAAAATATATAAATTTTACCATTAAATAAAGATATTTTAGCGAAATGTAAGACTGTCGATTTTGAACTGTTTCAGACATGTTTAATCAAAGTTTTTGCCAAAATGGTGGAAAAATAGTCATTATTGCGCATGCCCGACCGGATTTATGGGAGCAGCTTGCGAACGTCTTGGTAATTTAATAATTAATGACATATTTTCTCCATGAACTTTTATGATAAGTTGAAGGAGAAAGGGGACTGTTTTAATGATTACATAACTCAAAAAATTAATAAACAAACAGGTGAGAAGTAACATAATAAAATAGACACTAACGACAATAACTAAATTAAAACTTTCATCATTATTTCCGAAAAATAGTAATGACAATTCATTTTGAAATAGTTATTTACCCATTACTGCATTAGCATTGTGTGAAAAATGCCTGTTTTCATTGAAAAGCCT